ATCGCAAAGGAGTTCTTTTCCAGCATGACAACGCCAGGCCACATGTTGCAAAACCGACCCTGGCCACATGTTGCAAACTGAAGGAGATGAATTGGGAAATCATGCCGCATCTCCCGCATTCACCCGACATTGCACCTTCTGATTATCATTTGTTTCGATCGCTGCAGAACAATTTGAATGGAAAAAAATTTAAAAATGTGGAAGACGTCAAAAACCACCTTGACACCTTTTTCAACGAGAAATCGCGCGATTTCTATGAATCAGGCATCCGTAAATTGGTTGAACGTTGGGAGTGGATTGCCAAACATGATGGCGAATACATAATTGATTAATAAAAGCGCTTTCTTCAAAAAATTTCAATTTCAGTTTGCACTTGAAATCGGGCACGAACTTATGACATCATGAATGGCCTAGTGGGCTGTTCGGAGCTGTTTAGATAGATGTATTTAAAGCCAATTCTCTGTGAATTTAATAAAATTTCTAAAAGACTTGATGCTGATTTCGCATTCCCGAGATCTCGTTTTGGCTCTATCCTTAATGCTTTCTATTCAAATTTGTGGATCTCCAAAAATAAATATGAATATAAACAAAAGGAGTTCGATTTTGAAAATTGTAGAAAAATGTTTCATGTGGGATACAACTAAATATTAAACGAAAATAATAACTAATAAACTAATAAAATTATTATCATGAGCAAGAGCTACGCGGCGAGCTCAAAGGCACCGATACATCAATTCAAATTACGAAAATCTAATTGAAAATGTATGCATACGCACAAAGCGTTTAAAGAATTCAAATCTATGCAAGAAAGTAAACAAAGAAGTAAAAGAAACAAAGTTAAAAGAAAAACGAAAAGCGACAACGAAAACAAAAAGCAGAGAAATGATGTAATTAATTTGAAGTGGCCACCACCAACAGTGTATTTGTAAATGCAATGGGTGTCGCTACACTTGTCTACTGTCGGACTAGCCGAGGTAGCATCTGTGGCGTGCGCCAGACGCCTCAAGTGCTTCGCCTTGTTGAATGTGGCATGCAACGTTCGACAAAAGGGAAGGCAAGCGAATGGACTTGTAGTGCTATACATACACATATGTATGCATGTAAACCCTTCGTCCAACAATTTCTTATACGCTGCATAAATTTTTATTATTATTTTAAAGTTTCTACTAATGATTTCCATTTTAATTGATTCGAATCCAACGAAGTGGAGCATTAAAAAATAAGTTCAAAGAGAATGTAAGTAAATCAAAGAATATAGAGATAAATTAAATCAAAACAAATGAAATTGTGGTTCAATTAAACAATCGAAGTGGATCGTAAAAAGAGAAGAGCGGAAAAGTGTTGGAACGAGCGCATGCAACAGTTCCACACAACAGTTTCATAGAGCTCTGGTGGCGCTCAAGACTAATGCTTATGATAATTGTTGCACAACTCGAACGTCACACGCCAAAATCTAACTATCACTTTTCCGTAATAATAGCGCTATCTTTGCTGTTGCTGACGGTGAAGAAAACCAGATGCCTGGGAAGCACTATTTTCCTTTGTGAAGTCTTAAGAATTTTCAAGTGCACTTTGATAACAATATTTTAATTGATCATTAGACCATGTACGACATTGGTTTTCAAAACAGACAAGTGTAATGTGCTGATGTAGGGGCACAATGAACTTTGTGGTGTTTTGTGGTATTTTTAAATACTATAAATAAACAAATTGTAAATTTATTTACTCACAACCAGTCAAATTAATTCGCCGGCGCGGCATGTGGGGATTTTGTTTAATTTGGAAAAATTTTTAGTAAATAAACATTCTTAATTAGCTCAATGTCAGTAGCATGATTTTGCAAAATAATGTTTATTATTTTCTTATTTTAGTTAACAGTGATAGCGGTAAAATATTTGTGACGAACTTCACATAGTTTAAAGCTCACTTTGTTGGCAAAAGCTTTCGCCTGGAATTATAGTAGTACTCTATATACTCGGACATCGAGCACCGTGTGCAAATATTCGCTCGTTACTCGTTCATTGCTCAACAGTTCAAATGATATTTTGAAAATTTTTAAATTCATCAATTTTGTTTGTCGAAATTTCTTTAGTTTTTCAATAAGTTTTACACTTTGCATTAATAAAATTCAAATTATAAAAGAAAGTTCTGGAGAAAAGTCAATTTTTTTGGTCGAAATGCCCGTGAAACCAACCTCGAATTGCTTGAGTTCAAACTCAAAAATTTTCGAGCAATGAGCAGTGAATAAGTGCTCGAGCAGCTCGGAAATGTTCGAACAAAATCTTAACCTCTTTCATATATGTATGTACATATATAAATATTTAGATTTTAAAAGCTTTGTAAGTGATTTCGTCCACTGTTTATCTGACTTCAGTATTTTTTAATATCTCTCTGCCTCATATTTTCATCATAAAGACGCACACTAACATGTGCTCATTTGTGTCTAGTTTGGTTTTTGAGAAACTACAGTTCAAAGGTGTCAGTAAAGCGTTTTTGAACCTTCATATGACGAGTAGTCCATATGCTCTGATCGACTGTCTTAGTTCGGATTTAATTAAAATTATCCTCTACTTAATTTTTAGTAATAAAATTTCTAATTTACGTCGACCAAAAGTCGTAGCACTACTGATATTTTCAAACCAGTGGATCGAGATGATGGGAATAAATATGATTTAAGTAAATCAGTAGCTTGAAAACCGAGTTCCTATATTACTCCATCCGTAACAACAATAATATATGAGTACAAAAAAAATACAAAAAAAATGAAGTTTCAAGAAATTACGGCAATGAAATGCTGCTCCATTCAACCTCATTCCGTAAGCACAGGGATCGACTATTGTCAGTAGGGAATCACCAGTGATATTAAATGTTATATAGCGTTATTGGAGCGTTTGAAGACCAAAATTAAAAAAAAAATACCGCATATTCGCTGTATTAGACAGATTTGTCTCCCAGCGCCTATTGGCTGTTTGTAGATCTCGAAACAATGTTCACTGGCTATGCCTCTCACCGAGTACTGTAAATCGAAAAAAGGTGTTGAAAAGTTAAGGGGATACAATTTTTTAGATTTAAAAAAAAAATCGATTATTTAAATTCCATTTTCTTAATAAACATGTATTCAAATAAATACTCTAAAAATTTAACAACGCGTCAGAGCATTTGAAAGCGGTAAGCGAAAGTTTAACCTCGTTTTTCTCAAGTCGGCGACGAAGATTTCTCGAGAACGGTTGAGCCGATTAGTCTCAAATTTTTACACGGGCTTCTGAATAATATTTTCTAGTACTCAATTGAAGCTCTTTCATTACCGATGCAGAGTTTTTCTTTAATGCGCAATTTCAGACAAAATTATGGAGAAAAATGGAAATTTTTTTTTTTTTTGAGAAACCGTAATTTTTTAGAAAATTTTTTTATTTGCTTATTCCCTTAATTGAACAACAGATTATACATTACTTTAACCAAATCCGTTTAATTTTTTTCATTTCAGATAATATACTTGAGAAATACAATGGTCACCGCAAAACATCTTTTTGGGAGGGGTCCCTGTAGATCTTCTGCAACAGCTTCAAAAACTTTTATTTTTATAAATAAAAAATTGCTGACAACTCTCCAATGGTGCCATAGTATGTGTACAAATTCTCAAAATAATAAAGCTAGAAGTTTCCTGTTGGAAAATGTTTGAAAACTCTAATTTTTAAGGGCTGCTAACTGGTTGTAACCTTCCCTACGGCGGCGCTGGTATGATTTTGCGGTTCATGATGAAGATTATCTTATCGCAGTGTTGCAACAAAATTTCATATGGAATTGAAAAAATAAAAATAAAAATTCTTAATATTTAATAACCTCTCTTCAAATTTGACCTATCGAATTTTGGCATTTTCTTTTTGATCAACGAACTAAATACAACTAAATTTAATTTTGCTATAAATTAGTAGAATTGATTGGAACATCGAACACCAATACAAACATATTTGGCTTGCAGTCGTACAAGAATATTTTGAGTCCTTTTGTGTATTTATTGCATTGCTATAGGCTGCCAGCGACTTTGTCTACATTAAATTCTGAGATGGTTCTAAAAAGATTTATGTAAGGTTTCTACGCTGTATCTTCACTGTAACTTTCAAAATATTATTTTAAAATATATGAAGAAGAAGGAAAATTTTGTCACTCTTTAGTCTATGAAAAGAGCTTTCAATACCCAGATATCAAGCAAATCGAACTAGGAATACAATTTTTTCGAACGGATTGGCCCCTGTTTCACTTCCTGGAAGAAAAATTCTCCACTTATTGGCCTTACAAATAAACATGTACATATCTTCCACTTAATAAGGAAAACCATAAGACTCAGTACCACTTCCCGTAAGAAAAACTGTTTGTTCTAAATGTTACTTTAGGTAAAGAGTTATCCCCACTTCCGAGGGAAAATACTCCCACTTGTAATTTGTGCCTAAAACTGCTACTGTACGAAATATTATGTGTCAAATTTTAAATAAATATTTTCCGATTAGATTGGTCCATGGTCTACATCCCAGAAGAAAAGCTGTCAATTTAGACAAAATGTTACTTTGTACCGAATTTCATTTCGATCAAACGTTTCAAAAATAAACTCGATTTTTCTTTCGAATAGATCGGTCTTAGGTTCACTTCCGGGAAACTTCATTCTTATCGGGCGCATACGTCAGAAGCAGAACAACACACATTCCAAGTCTCAGGTCACTAAGACCAGTGGTTTAGCCTGAGGGTTGAACCATCAGCCGTTCAAGCCAACTCCTTTTGTTGTTGTTGTATTGTATAATTTAAATTTAAGTCTCTTCTGCTAGTCATCAGAATTACAGTTTCATAAGAAACTCTGGCAGGTGATTCATAGCTTGCTTTTTCGAATAATCGCAGCCACTTTCACCTTCACTTTTTTGATTCAGAAAGTTTGTATTGAAATGCAAATAATGCAAGAATTTCTAAAAGAGAACTTGAACATTCTCTTTGTTTAAACTTAAAGGCAGCGCACTTATGCAAAAATATTTAAAAATTTAATTCAGTTGGTGTTCACTTACCTTGAACATTAACGGATTGCGATCAATTTCAGCTTCGGCGCTCTCACAGAGTGATTCCGACTCAGAGAGGAAAGCGAGGAACTGCGCAAGAATAAGGAAGTCAATTATTATTTCTTTTTCTTTTTTACTTACAGCATAAAAAACAATTAAATGCGGTATTTCGAAAAGGTTACATACTTGATCCATCGCACGATCGAAAGACTGAAGACTGTGTACGGCGGCATGAAGTTGTTTGCCACGATTGATAACGCCATTGTTTAAATTTGAATATCTATAAAGTACAAGTGATTTAGAGGTTATGTTGAAGGATGAACAAAGAAGAAGATAAATTATAATGAATACGTTTTGCTAGAGTGAATCACTTTTTTATAGACCATCTTCAGTTAAACTTTTAGATTCATTGACTGTTTTGATTTTAGCTTCACACGCGGTCTAGTGGGGTATAGTCGAGCTTCTGGGTCTGAAGTAACAGTTGCAAGGCCATGCTGAATATCTACCCTTTGGAAAGACACAATAACCAAAACGTGAGAAGCCTTGAGTCACGACTAAAAGAGCAGAAGCTTTAGTGAAGCCATCCCGACTTATTCGTCTAAAGGGTTCGCCAAAGTCTAATTGCAGAGCTTCGGCTACAAGCGGGTGTGGGCTTTAAAGAAAGCGATTTGCCGCCCATCTTTTTACTGTGTTCGTCGGGCCAAAAGCTGACATTTATAAGAACTACTACGGTAGCCATAGATTATAACGCATATTTGGTGTCCAATATGCAGTGAGAGAAAAGCCTTTATCACAGCGCCAAAGCGTCTTCACAAAACCCGCAACATAGCGAAATTCCCCAACCTATTGTGCCGAAGGAAGAGAAGAATAATGTGACCATGATTATGACCATCTAGAACGCACCAATGAGCGCTGCCTTCGTCTCGATGTAAAAATTATGCTTGGCGACTTTAACGCCAGGGTGTTCAAAGAGGCTATCTTCGGCACAACTGTGAGAAAACTCAGCCTCTACTGTGAAATAGCCAGCCCGGAATACTTCGGATACCGATATTTGTCCTTAGTACTCATCAACCTACTTGGCTGTCTCTCGATTGAAAAACTTACAAACAGATCGATAATGCTTTGTTAGACGTGCGTACTCTCCGAGAGCCCAACATCATCGCGAACTACTATCTATCTTTTAGCAGCTTGAATACTCACAAGCCACAATGCGGCAAAGAATGCCTATCAACAGACGCAAAGAGAGTTCGACGTGGAAAAGCTGGAATCACAACCGACAGAAGAACGATTTTCTGCTCGTCTTGCCCTCTTGCGCTCTGAGAGCACTCATCAGGAACTTTGCATAAGCTCTCTATCTACCGCGGAACTAACTAGCCTTAACTCTTAATATGGCAACGTGATCCTACGGATATTTACATATAAAGGATAATGCCTGGTAGCCCGAACTTTCAAAACCCTGTCAGAGGGTAAACTTCAATACCCATTATTATAATAATCCAATACCACCTACCTTTGATTAATGGCCTCCGTCATCTTTTTGATGCGCGTGGTATCGTCCGATGGATAAACAGCAATAAGTTTTTGTGTCAGAGCATTGAAAAGTTCAAATTGTTGCTTATTCTGATGCAACTCGGCGTGGAAAGACTGTGGAAAAGAACGATAAAGAAGTCAAGTTGTTAAAAAAAAATTGTACTTAACTCGCTCACACTCACCTTCTGCTCTTTTTGTTGAGCTTCCAAAACATCAGCGGTAGTGGCAACATTGCCCATACGTTCGGCGCGTGCTTCCATGCGTGCCAACCACTTCTCCAACTCCAAACGTTTCGTTTCATAGCTGAGCGGAGTAAAGAAGAGAAAAAGTTTGTGAAAAAAAAAAATTGCATCAATTAAAATTCATTTTTAATTTCATTGCATTTACACACATATTTGTATGTATATATATTTTATGAGCTTTATGCAAAGTTCAAAGTTCACTCACCGTTGAGAATCGCCGAGCATGTTTTTCAATTGGGCAGCGCGTTGCAACACACACTGTGAGGTCTCATCCCAGTGTTCGCGTAGACGTGTAACTAAATATTAAAAAAAATTTATATATATATGTTAACGGTGTTTTAGATTTTTTTTAGCTTGTAACAGTAAAGTTAGTTAAATAAGTTATTAAATTTTTAATAAAACCAAATAAGAAATCATGAAAATATTACAACAACAGTAAGTGAAATAAAAACAACTTAGTACATGGTAAAGCTTTCGCTAGCGGTAGCGACTACAGCGCTCTCCGAGTATGGGGGTGTGAAAGCTGCGTATTAAGCCACTTATGCTGTGTGCTTTTATTTAAGCTCAGATGCTTTCACCTGTGTACTATTTAAATGAAAGCTAATGTGTTGATTTTTGTTTTTAGTCCCTTCACATTTGATGTATTCAATGGAGTTCCCATTTGTGCAGAAATCGTTTATTATATATTAATAAAAAAAAATAGTTAAATCATGCAAAAAACATTAGTCTTAAATTAGTTGCGAATATTAGGGGAAGAGTGGTAAGAATTATTTGGAAATTACTGCTTGTAGCAGCGTGACACTGAGACATTATCCAAAGGGGATATTGGTATTTATAATGCGGTTCTAGGGCCACCACATGTGCGTATTGGTTTCAACATTTTTCGTTTTACTCTTTTGATTATTGTAATTTTTAATTTTTTTTTTTTTTGCATTAATTTGCGTTGCATATTTTTGTTATAGCATTTGCTGAGGTTAGCTGGAAAAGTATTAATTGACAACATTGATTGAGATTTATTGATGCGCAGTTTGTTATTGGTGTTTTTTTTTTTTTGAATAGCTATAATTTTTTTCCATTGACTTTACCTTTCAAACAACAACGCATATAATCCAAATCAGCGGCGCAATGCGGCGCAAGGGAAAATTGTTTTAAGGCTAAGTGGTGGAAGAAGGTAAATAATGAGTCAAATTCAATCACATTCCTCTATTATTTAAATTTTTAATAATTTAATTGTTTATATTAACATTCAAATTTGCTTAAATGCCCTTACACTCCAGACATGTGTTGCATTCCACTTTGGCTTAGACTGTATCGTAGTCGCAGCAAAAGAGAGCAACATTTTGAGAGGCACTTATTTATGAGAACACATAGTAAATTTTTTTTTTTTTAAATTGAGAAAAAAATATTTAATATTTTGGTACCGGATTTTCATGCAAAGCTTTAATAATATTCGGTAATATTTATTTTAATATTTTTTTGGTTTGCCTTTGATGCGAGGTAAGTAGATACCATAAGGAGAGTCATTTAAAACGATATCGTCAGAAAGGCGAGTTGATTTGATTTAGCCACTTCGGGCTGTCTGTATGCACGCAAACCAACTCCGCAGTTCTTGAGTTGTTTCAACCACACTTTATTGATCACTTCTTGAAAACCGTCAGATCGGGCCACTATAGCAGATGAGGGGATAAACAAAAGTTCGGTCAGTTGGTGCCTTTATTAGTATTTCTGTCAAATTTCAGGAAAATCGTCTAAAATGCAGACGGGAAACGCAAGATGGTTGAGAATAGGTCTAACGAAATTCCAACACCAACGCAAATAGAAATTCGCCATGTGATACTCTTCTAGTCTCGGCATAATTTATTGCCAATAAAAATATTCAGTGATTGCCAAATTGCATATAGAACGATTGCACCATAGTTAAAGATTATTTCTAAGTGGTTCCGAAGATTCCACATCGGCTATTTTTTCGTAGAGAAGGCGCCTCAAGCAGGTCGACCAAAATCTTCCACTGATGACGACACTGTAGCTCTGGCGAAAATTGACAAAGACCCACGATCGTCACAAGAAATGATTGCTAATGAATTGAGTTTAAATGCCATGATGAAATCGCGAATGTTAAGTAATCATCCAGGATGCACGAAGGAATCTGCTCGATGGGTACCACGAATTTTAAATAAGACCCAAAAAGAGGCCAATTGAATTTTGCTTTACTCTTCCTAAACAAATTCGACATGGTCACTATAGCAAACTTGTTACAGGTGATGAATCTTGGTTCTATAAGTAAGATCCAGAAGTCAAACAGCAGTCCATGACATGAAACCCGATAGAAGAAAACCACCCGTATAATCTCAGCAGCAAAAATAAAAAAAATTAACGATATCAGTATACTTCGCCCGATCAAAAATCGTGGTTGCTGTTCCTAAACTGGAAAAGGATGGTAGCTGCGATATGTGACACCGAAGAGTGATTACCAAAAGTTTTCAAAAATTTGTTGGAAAACAGAAAGAAAGAGGATTTGCATCGCTACTTTTTACGTCACGACAACGCACCATCTCACACTGCTGTAATAACGAGTAATTTTATTTCGATCCCAACGTGTGGTTTCGGGAAGTTCTTTAAAAGCAAGAAGGAGATAAGTAATGCGATTAATGATGAACTTGATCCCTTGAAATCAATGCCGATTATGCACCCAAGATAAGAAGCACCCAGAGGAGCCAGTATGAAAAATGCTTTTAAATCTGCTAAGTGGGATGAAGTAATAAGGGCTATTTAATACGTGTATTTTGAAGTTATTTTAGTGAAAGATGTCTTCTTTGTGATACAAACAAAGGCCCTCTTCTGTCGAACATAATGCTCGAAGGTATTTTTAAAACAGAAAACCGGATGGCGTGTCTCTCGTGGGCTATGCTAATGATATAGCTATTTAAGTGGTAGCAAAACCCTTGGCCGTGGCATAACAAGGCCTCTAACGGCGAGACTAGTGTAGGCACAACACAAAATAGAGACGGAAAAATGTAGAGACTATGTAAGTGAGAGTAGGTGGCTGCATGATAGGCTCGAGACAAAACATCATATCTCGAAGTTAATCTTAATCGCCAGCAAAGGTAAAGGAGCATTTGAAATACTCAGTAAAGTCGGTTGGCCTGTCGCCAGACTCATACCAAATATAGAATGGTTCAAGGCAACAAAGAAAGAAATTACTTGCGTGCATCAGTTCGTCCATCCTAAGGTACGCGGCATCAATCCGGACTAATGTAACTCTCGAACCAGCGTACTTGAAAGCACTAGCTTCGGTATATAGATTGACGCCGTTAAGGGCATGTAGGGCATTCGTGATGGTGTCAGATACAGACGCAAACCTGCTGGCCGAAATATGTCCAGTAGATATAACAGCCCGAGCCGCTTTAGAAATGCAAGTAAACGTAAATAAATCAAGTAACAAATGAGTGGTAAAAAGGGAGAAACGTCTCCGAAAGGAAGATGAATGAAAAAGCTAATCCTAAGTGTCAGCAAATGGATCGTCTCCGGAAAGTCAACTTAAAGCAATGATTTTTAATGAATTTCACGTCATGGATGAGATACGCAGATATTAATGTAGAAATAATAAAGCATCTTAGACGACAAAATAAGCAAAGAGCGTGCCAAGAAACGTATATAGTAATATGCCATGGTAACTTCCACCGGAGACTCGTCCTTTTCGACCACGCTTAAAAGCCTTTCTTCCAGCCCCAATTCGATTTGAAATGAGGTGACGTGAATATAGATCGGAAACAAGTCCTTTCCGAGTAAACCGTCAACCTCCCTAAGAGATCGAGTAGCGGAGAAGATTATAAACTGGAGTCAGGGCCTCGCTAGCTAGCTAAGTACTTTTTGAAAATATCATGTGCTGAAAGTAAGATGCTGAAATGCGGTACGCGTGAGAGCCGTACTGTTTACTTCATTAATAGTTTCGCTTGAAGAGTGTGGCTTAGTAGAGAAGTATTTAATACGTAGGTGCAACTATGTGGATGCAAGGACGCAGAGGACTACATCATACAGTTTCTCTAATTCAATCGATTGATAACTTTGAGTAGATTTGTCCGATTTAAGTCAAGTATGCGCTATTGGTAAACTTGTTGCCAACGAGATGCCAACGACTTATACCCCTCTCGTAGAAGGCTGCGTCCCTATTGGCAAAAAACTCGGAGAGCCAGTTTTCACGGTCTACATAAAGCCTAATATGGAACTTGCTTCAAATACTCAATATCCAGTATAGTCTGAGATCAGAAGGTGAATTTCTTTGAGCCATCTTAGATAAGAAGCTTAATTGGAAAGATAATATCGCTCCAAGATATGAAAAGGCTGCTGCGGCACTCTATACATGCAAAGTAACAGGTAAGAAATGGTGTCTAAACTCCAGGCTTTGCCGATGGATCTTTTACGGTGCGATCTTGTGGCGGCCAACTATAAATAAGGCTTCAAATCCTAAGGTTCAAAGAAGTGCTTTAATGTGTATCAGTGGTGCACTTAGCAGCACACCAAGTGAGGCTCTAAATGTGATACTCAATATTTTGCCACTGGATTTGGTGGTACATCAGTCGGCAGCATTGACTGCACTTCGTCGTCGAATCAACGGACTACCCAGGTATGGGGACACTCGATAATATTGAGAATATACGACTTCATACCAAGTTATACAGAGAGTTGTGGTCCAAAAGTAGTAACTGATAACCACTTTAGAATACGAATTCCCAGCAATGAAGAATGGACAGATAATAACAATACTCCAAAGGATAGTCTGGAAATATACACGGACGAGTTGGCGGAAGAATCTTCTCAGAAAACTCTCAGATGGCACCCTCGTTTTGCAAAGCACTGCGCTCGCTTGCGTTAAACTTCAAATTAGTGCTGAACTGATGCCGCTCTCTACAGGATATGGCCAAACAGACGGTCTCTCACGTGAGTCACAGGGACTTTGAGGACAACTGTAAGGCGGATGAACTTCACAGGCAAGATATGACCAAACAGATTCTTCTCGCTAAAGAAGGCTTGATATGAACAAGCCGCTGCAAGGTAGAATGACATTACAATCTGCCGCAAAACCAGGCAGCCATGTCCAAAATGGGATGAGAAGAGATCACGAGATATGTATTCCTTAAAAAGACGTAACATGTCCAGGGTTATAGAAGTTCTGACACGCGACAGTCTGATAGGGCACCAGGCAGAAAGATTAGGGGCTCTCTTTATAAGATGCTGCAAAAGCTGCAAGGAGGATTAAGAGGAGTAGTCGAGCACCCATCTCTTATGAGACTGATCTGTTTTGAGCAGGGCGATGTTTCGTAATTTTGGACACCAACTGCTGGATGGTCTACCAAAGATAGCTTAAGTCAAAGTGATGGATCTAATGAGGTTCATTAGAGAATGAAAATGGATGGAAGATGAAACCGTATGGTTTAGGTTTTATTGGTATCACAATGGGCCTAAGTCAGGCTTATGTTAATCCGTCTTGACAGATCGATAGCCACTGCAACCTAACCTTGCCTAACTTACGAGTAATATTCAAGTTTACTGGGCTCCCAGAGTCGAAGTTAAAGAAAGTAGATTATGCACTATATGCCTAATGCTTGATCTGTAATTACGAGGCTTCGTAACTGGGTGCATAAGAATTACGCAATAAAAACAAAAGGGATGTGAACTTACTTTTTCTTCGTCTTGTGGAATTTTTAGTGCTTGGAGTCGCTATGAAGAAAAGACACTATAAAGCAACGAGAATATCCAAACTTGCTGTGGGTGGAAAATTGCTGATATTAAAAACTCAACTCAAAAGCTCAACCAGAAATAGCGAATACATATATCTTAAACTTGATATATATATAAATATATATATATATATATTTAATATGTTTTTTTGATTAAATAATAATAAAAATGTTTTTTCATCGTCATATTATTCAGTAGGTCGAGGCGGCAGTAATGGTTTCCAGGAAAAGGTTTAACTCAAGATGTAGTTTTCAGGAAGGATGAGCCAGAGGATTTACAACTACGCCAAGGTGTATTGACTTTTGGTTCGATGCTCGATTTAAAAAATCTCGGGACATCGATTCACCACACTGTTAAATTTTGGCTGTAAGCTAACAGAACTGTTAGTTTAGCAGAAAGAAAAACTGTTTTTAAC